ATCCAGACGGATACTGCATTCATTGAGGGGAAATATCAGTTTAGATCATTTGACGTTTAAACAGCGTTGGGTAGGCTGCCCTCCGTCCGGTTGTCCATTGCGTGTCAGATTAATCATTAATCCATAAACCCCACAAAACAAAAACGCTGCTTTTGGTCAAACTCCTGTTGCCTCAAAAAACAACGCGCTCATGGTAAATAATTCATCTGACTAGATGGATGAGAACATCAGAACGGACAATGACAGCGGGCAGTTTAAGTATTAAGCCTTCAGATTGAAAATTTACAACATCCCACGGCTTCCGTTATTACCACTCACAGGAGGAAATGATAACGTGATCAAAATGTAACAGCTTCAGCCACACGCATGCTCAGCCATATTCCCACAGCGTGTGCGTGAGTGGCTGTGTGAGCACAGACAAGCTGGGCATGTCTGGTTTGGACAACAAGTCCCAGATGACAACATTTCTGTCTAAAAGGTTCCTTTTCCTTGGGGAGGGAGTAACAGTGAGTGCGTGTGCGCGTGCATGTGTCCCGTGCATCTGCCTTACTGACACAGTAAATTGCAAATGGGTCATGGAGGACTTATGAGTTCTACCTCCAATCACATCTTCCACACAAGAGCTTGCGCAAGCAAACAGTCACGTTCACATTAATAGGATGCAAACACACCAAGATACACACACGCAGAGGAGCCTTGGGGTTTGGCAGTTGGTCTATCCGTCTAGCAGTGTGAGCAACCACTCAGCCGTGGATGATAATGCAATCAACTGTCATTAGAGGCATGCTGGCTGGCTGGCGGGCTGGGTGGCTACGTGTGTGTGTGTTTTCACGCACACACTCACAACAGATGCAAATGCAGACATCCACACTACATAGGTAACAGAGTGACAAGTGACAACACGACAGTACCATTTCAGTAAATCAACACGTTTGCACTGAAAGCTTTTGGAGTCCCCTGACCAGCACTGTGAGGAAATGAACTTAGATCAACAGTGGATGATCTTTAAAGAATGTTTGTACCATAAAAGGGGAAAAGATTCTTCAGATCCTCAACAGAAATACAAAAACAAATAAATGTATGAATATTTGAAAGCCAATTCTCGGGAGTTTCTGCGGACAATATAAAGAAACTGGGAAGGGAGTGAGACAGAAGTGAGGAAGTCTCTTATACTTCAGAGAAGAAAAATCAGTGAATGATGATGAGAAAATGAAAGCCGGCGATTATCAAAGGAGACAGTTGAAGCTCAGAAAAAAACAGATTACTTAAAAAGCACACATAAAAAGTGTTTTTTTTTTTTGTTTTTTTAACATGTAAAACTACATCCATACATTTCCATATCAAAAGCCATTATTCCATACCAGTATTTATTCTGAAGCCTTTTATGTATCCTGAAAGAAGATGAACTCATCCAGTCTTTACAACTTGCACAGAGTAGTAATCCACTCCAACACGCCGGAGCAGTACAATTCATCCTTATTTTAAACATCACAAAGTGCACTGGGATGTGAAATGCCAAACCTGGGCAGGCTCAGAAGCAGGTGATTAAAAACGGCCCAGAACACCACTGGTACCTACCTACCCAGCATCGGTGATTATCAATGAGGTGAGGCATCTGCACAGAGCCCAAAGGGTAGTGTAGGACAAAAACAATGTCAGCCACAGCCTTTTCATCACACCATACAGCAAAACCCAGAGGCGAAGCACAAAGCTTTAAGGAGCTATTCGTCCCCTCAGGCTGAAAGCTACACAAGTCATGCTCTTCTCTTTCACAGCAATATTTTGTTTAATTATTGACAACTAATATATTCTTGGCTCTTTTTTTGTTTTGAGCGACAGAAATAAATATGCGTTACAGTTATGTTTTTCCCAGACAAAATATAGTTGTTAGTTAATCCCATTATATGTTGGAAAGAACTCAAATGTATTAGTCTCGTCATAAATGCTTTTCATTAGCAGTCTGGTGTATGGACATCATTTACATCACTTTCCCCCCCTCTGGCTGTCCACACACCTCTCTCTCGTACAAAAACTCGCTGTATAGACTACAGTCATCTTGGGATTTCAGTCAATATCAGTTTTAAGAGGCTGAAAATCACAGCGATAGGACTGTGTGCATAATCTACACTCTGTACTTCTGAGACAGTTCTCGCTGCATATGAATGCCTCCATGTGTCAGTGTGCACCGAGAAGGAGGTAGGGTATGCCAAGTTAGGCACAGCAGGGGTCCGTGATAGCACTCACATCCACAGTTTGACAACATCTTAGAAAGATCTATTCACTTGGGATTTCTCTCCTGTCCTTAACATTTCTAAGCACATTACTGTTAAGAGAGGGAGAGCCAACCTGACAGACAGAGGCAGTAAGAGACAGGAACTGAAAGGCTGGTGAGCTGAGACGGCGGAAATTATCAAAAGGAAGAAGCGGGAAAAAAAGGGGGTGGAGAAAAGTGGAGATTAAAAAAAGAAATCTAACGACTCAAGACAGAAATGTTTGAGAGCTGAGGAGAAGATGATAAAATATGCAGAGAAATCAATAGAAAGTGAGCAAAAAATAGCAAGGTTGTGCAAAAGAAACCCAGTATTAGAAGATTAAGTGGGAGTATCTCTGTGAAAAATAGCAGGTGAGCTCAACTGACAGTACAGCAGCCATGATGAATGCTGCAAGACAAGCCAACCACTAATTTGGATGGCAGGGGCTTGGTACCACGGGGTATGAGGATGGAGTCAATCTGTCTCTCTTACATGTGATCACAAAGTCACAGCGTGTGCACCTGGGTCCAGACAAGAGACCTTCTCTCAGAACAAAAGTAGGAAAAAAAAAAACATTGAAAATACTTCAAACAACCCAACACAGTTTCCCTCAACACCCCGGGAGAAAGCAGGGGAGGTTCTATGGCTAAAGTGAACAGGAGATTTGTCACCGTGCATGCAAAGTGCAGCAATATATATTTTCAGCCATTAAATTTCAAAGCAATCACCGCTAAAGAAGACGAGAGGGCTTGGAGGGCAAAATGGACAAGAAGGGAAAGTAATGATAAACATGTGGCAGTCTGTTCGGTGCAATTCTAAATGTGCATTAAGTGTGATTTACAGCGCAGAATACAGGCAGGGGACGGAAACCGGGCCTTTTGCCATTACACAGCCTACCTTGCAAAGATAGTATGATTTGAAGCCTCAGGTTCATGCAGTAATTGGGGCCAATCACTAGTCTGCGGCTCAGACAGAAAACCATTATGATCATCAGCAAAGACATGAAAAGATATTTCACACGGCGAGAGAGGGATTATTAGAGTCAAGGGCACAGAAGTCAGTGTGTCTGAGAGAAAGAAGGACCAGAAAGGTTAGTTACTGACAGGGTAGTGTACCAGGGATTTAAGTTGAAACACCTACCTCAAAGTGAAGCCTGACACATACATTGGCTTTCTAAAGGAATGCCAGTGTAATGGCCTGGGCTGAACCAATGAATAAATGATTCAAATCCTATCTCATATAATTGTCACGCTCAAATAACTCATCACAGACTGTAGAAGTGAGCCTGGGTGAAAGAGAAAAATAAGTCGAATTTTAACAACATGCAGACAACAGCAGTGACGTGACAAAGTCTCAAAAAATCTTTTAATCAAAAGGAAGGAAACCATCTGCACTGAATGTTTGCAGAGAGGAGCAGTATTAGTTCAATGTCATTTTGTCATCTTCCTCTATGTCTTTCATTTTAAATGCTCTATAAAACATGTAAACACCGACTAAAGGGATGATCTCTTAAGATGCATTAGTTGACATGGATGTCAAAACAGGGACTGTTGTGGCATAAAAATGTCTTCAGCTGTCAGGAAGGGCGGGTGATGGGTTTATGGTTGTATTAGACTATAAACGCTGTTTATGTTGGACTGACCGCATTAGACGGGCACATCATGTGATCACTTAATGAGCTGGTGATTATGCGACAGACTGTTTTAAATATTTCGTAAAACACTCCAGTGGGACTGCAGGCCTGGAAGCGCCTGAATGACTCAAAGTGCAAAGTGAAGAGGAGGTCTTGCTAATTTGTCGAGGGGTCTAGAGATTGCAATACATGTTAAACTATAGGGGACACAGCTTAGCAGAGTATGTGCACAGATGAATGATGGGGTTTTATCGAGTGGAAATTGTATAATGTAAAACTCTTTTCTACGATTCTTCCCATGCCTGCCATGCAAACATGCAATTTCAGTGTGACTTTACCCTGCTTTGTGACAACGGCACAAAGTTGCATGTTCACAGACAACTATTCATGGGGAATTCCGATTCGCCTGCCTCTCCATAAACTCTGTTTAATCTCTTTCCCTGAGATGATAATATTTCAGTACATAGTTAATTGTTCAGAAGTCTTGACAATTTCTCACTTACATATTTTTGGCTGATTTCTGAACACACAGTGAACTAGTCTTTAGTTTTAAGAGGCTCTGCCTTTCTTAGGTGCTCTCAGGTGCTCTTCACATAATTTCTGCATATGAATACATCAGGATATTTAAATTAATCCTGCCATGGGAAAACAACTTTCCATTTATAAACTTGTAAGTGACAGAAAAGCGATAGAAGGAAAGAGTTTTCTGTGTCTCACAACCAACTGCCAAAAGCCATGCACACCATGGTAACCACAGTCAGTTCCTCATTTCACAACAATAACAGACTTGGCAAATATTGACACACCATTGCTCTAACATTACAAAAGTGACTGTATTTGCTGTTTGCCCCGGGATACGGCAGTTAATTTTCAATGGGATGTGTGCTTCCCTCTGTCAGAAGGTGTGGTTGTGTGCACATCTGATTTTAAGGAAAAGTACTATGTATTTATGACAACAGAAGAGCACAGGTCAATTTGCTCTGTCCACAAAAGACAGTCAGAACACAGAGAAATCCTCAAACTTTAATTATACTTAATGCTTGCTCCATTCCACGAGTTTGTCAAAGTAATGTAGTCATGCCCACGCCAGAAGGTGGTGAGCCAAACAGAAAATGTCAGGGGTGTGTATCCTCCCGCTTGTCACCTGGGAAAAACACAAAGGGACGAAGTGAAAGAAAAGAGGAAAAGTAGGAGCCACCTGTATGTAAAGGCTCACCTGTCCTTTGAATGCTGAGTGTGGCCTGTGGAGGTGGTGGCTAAGACACAAAAGCGGCAGCAGCAGTTTGTGTTTTGTTCTGAAAACGGTGGGAGATGTTCTTTGTTACACGATCATTAGCCCCCTTTCACTCACGAATAACACAACTCTAGGGTGACGTGGGATACTTGCTCGAACCCGGGTTTCCACAACAGGGAAAGAAGAATTAAACTTATCTTATTGCAGTCTCTGTCACATCGGCCTGCAGCAAGTGTTTGGGCTCTTCAGAGTCTGGTGTGTGACGGCTAAATCTTGCATAGCTGTGACTATTACACAGACCCTAATGTGTAATAAATACGATTGGCTCTCCCCACACTAATTCAATAAATAGGGGCATAAATGAATAAATGGGGGCAAGTTTGAGTTGGTTTTGTGAATGTCTACAGTAAACATAAACTAATGTCCTAAACCCAGATAAACTTCATGGTGGCGTAGTTCGAGGTTTCCACAGCAGGTCAGAAACACAGCAGCTATAACTTAGAGCCCACCACCAACAGGGCAATCCCAACAGCCAGGAAACACAACCGCTGACTTATCTCAGGGGACAGAAGGAAATTAAAATTAGGCAAACAAAATGGGACCAGGCTACAGTCTACATGACTTAAACTTTTCTCTGATTAAGATATGTTGTGCTGACATTTCATGATTATTCAGGTCATTTTGCCATTGCCATTTTGTTTATGGCAGCTTAAAGCAAACTAAGAACCTTCCAGGCAGATCAGGGCCGGTGAACTCACGTCCCCCTGAATTGACTTTTGAACAGAACAAAGCATGAGATAAGTTTTAGGACTTTTAAGACTTCCCTTATCTTGTGTGTATTAAATGGTAAACACAAGATTACACACAACCATACACTGTTTCTGGTGTAAAACTGACAAGGGCAAGCTTATACAGATAGAGCCACCCTCTGAGACACAATTAAATATATCTTTATAAAGTGACCATCAGACTGAAAAGACAGTGCTTGTTTAGATAAAGCGCTGCCCTGGCTGACCCGATTAGAGGCTAAGAGAAAATGTTGCCAACCTTTTTACCCATCCATTAAGTAACTGGTAAAAGTCATGAATCTTGTCCTCAAACAGAGGCTTAAATCCGTATCATTGTATATCTTAAGATGGCCTCTTTAAAGAAGTATTTATTCCTCTGGAGGTGGTTGCCTAATCCTGTATGTGCGGTGCTCTATGACCACAAAAGAAAGAATTTTTTTTTTTTGAAGGAGTTCATTCTAGAAAGAAAATCTGAAACAAAACAAGATTAGACACAAACTAATTTAGAAACACTGTTCGAAAAATAGATTTTTAAAAATCATTGGAACAACAGGTAGTTTTCCTCACAAAAAAAAATAAAGATAACTGCAGTGCAAATGCACAAAACCGGAAATGAAGAGCTTCTCTTCAGGGTTTACTTTGATTTCTGGGAATTTTTGTGTTCTCGTCTCTACACACGAGACAATTTTAAAACTGGGGGAAAAAACGCTGTGTTTTTCTCGTTTCCTTTGCCAGGTCATAAAGTTGTGTATACCAGACTTTTTTTTTTCCGAGAAGCTAAATCCTCCTCAACAAGTATTTGAAAGAAAAAAAGTTTGAGCAAGTTCAACTCACATTTTCATATTTCCATCATGCAAATGTGCAGCAGTTTAAGCCGAGTTACAAAAAAAACGGGAACTGACCCAAAATACGCACAGGGCTCCCTCAGAAAGAGGAAGATAAATCCAAAGCCAACTGCGCAGAAATGTTCAAAATGATCAAAACAGTCAAAGATTGTCAAATGACTGCAGAGAACGAGAAGCTCAGAGGTAAAAAAAAATACTTTGTTGAGTGTATTATACTGAAGTGATGATAGATCAACTTGAATGACAATTCAAGGTCTTTAGTAAGAAAAGGCTTGTGCGGCAGCCTCAGTGCAGCCATCATAGGCTCAGCCTGCTGTTTAAAGATGTTTACGCTCCACTTGTAAAAGTGCTGTAATTTGATTAACAATAATGATCCGAACCTCTTTTTTCATTTTCTTTCTGTGTGAAATTTAAACAATTTAGGTCATGTGGTCCCTTAGTCCCAGATCCAAGCTTTGGGACATGCAAATTAGATGCAAATAATACCAGAAAAGTGAAAACTAGTTATGGGTCCTGGTAATAAATACTGACTTTAGCCTCTTGGCACTATAAAAACAGCCAGTTGGGGTTCGTATGCAAATGGTATGCAAATTGCCCTGACACAGAGTTCTTATTCCTTCCCTACAAAGAACGGGCGTTCAGAGGAGTGAGTAGGCAGACCCTGCTATGTTGTGGTGGATTTGAAGCCAGCTCATGTTGCCATCCCCTGACAATCATACTTTTTATATGAACTGTTCGATGATCATGAATACAAGAAAGAGAGATGATAGATGGAGGAATAAGAACCGGGGCACAAGTTATTTCAGAACTTTAAAATCAGGCAAGTGCTGTCAGCTGAACAGAGAGATGAGAGTGAAACATAGACACAAGGAGAAAAGAGAGAATAAGGGAGCAAACGTGCAAGTTAAATATGGGAAATTGACAAGTAAGTGTGAAGAAGACGGTGAGACATATGTGCTCCAAACAAGAGGAAGCTACATATGAAGGCAATAGAGACAGAAGCCAAAACCCCAGAAAATGGAAAGAATCCCAAAAACTGAAAACGTTAGAGACACACAAAAGTATATTGCAAAGAAACCAACGCGGGACAAAAAGAGACATTAAATTAACAGATCTAATGAATGTGGCAAACTGAGATGGAGGAAACACACACCAACAGGGTTTGCCTATCTAACTTGCCCTGAAAGGAGGGGCCTTGCTGGCTGGAGTTAATCACTCTGAAATGTAAGGATTACCCACAGCACACAGTAAACTTAGTGGACCACCTTGTTCAACTGGCTGTCTCCTAACATTACATGCATCGCTAACAGAAAAACCCACACACGCACAAAATCTATGCAGTATCTTCACCAGCAGCCCCACTGTAGTCTCTGCAAAGCTCTTAATTAGATCAAATGTAGCCGTGAGCATATCACCTGATAGCTTTAACTGCACAGCAACCACATATACAGTAAATATCTGCCCTCTACCACACACACACACGTTAGTTATTGAAGTGCTTAGTGCTTAGAAAGAATCTGGATGTCGGTAGGTAGGCTGGTGGTGTGCTCCAATTATGTGGAATAACATTTTGAGCACACAATACTCCAAATGCTTTCCTGTCTTGTACACATTTATAGAGGAACCATATAGAGTCTGTTCAGCATTTGCAGCTTTGACATGCCACAAACAAAGAATATTATTACTCATATCTTCCTATCCTGGGCTAACAATGTTAAGGTCCCTTTTGCATTTTTGCCTTCTCATTCTAAATCTCATCCTCACTGAAAATGCGTAATCTGACACAAAGTGTTTGCAAACTTGGTTTTTGTTTGGACAAAAAGTTTTGATATCGATTAAAATTCTGATCTGCGAGGGCATGAAAGCTGGGATCAAAAATGGGAAATCCTGTCTAATGGCTGCATAATCCTGCTTTTGACATTAGTGTCTACGTGTTTGCAAACGCTTGCAAGCGCATGGGACATAACGCATCCGTAAATTAATATATTAGATAGATGGGGCGGATATAAAGCTAAATCCCACACAATTTGCCTCCTAATTTACCAACCATTACAATATGGAGCGATTCCAACCGTTTTCCATTGTAAATAATTGATGTCTTTGTGCAGAATCTGTGTTGATAATGGATGAGCTCATCCCAGGGAAAATAAATTAATCAAAAAAAGACAAAAAGGTAACTAAATCTGCAGAACAAATACAAATAAGCCTACAACGGCAGCAAGGACAAAAACAGAGAGCATGGATGCGGGGGTGGTGCAGACACTCACAGACGGACACACAATTCTCTCCCACTAACAGATTCCATTAAAAACAGATGGCATCAGAATTATCTGATGTCCTGTCAATGTCTTTTTATATGCTAATCCAGCTCCTACACATGCCCGAGTGTCTTTAATCAGATATCAGGTCAGAGAAACCAAATCAAGCCGAAGCAATCATGCTGCCGGGGAATTACAATACACCGAGACAGGTATTCACCGAGGAATGTATCAACGCACTTAATGTCACCAGACTCAGGCAAACTGTGGAGCTGGGATGGATTGATGATGTTGTTTCTTTTGAAATGTGTTTTTTTTATTTTTTGCTTCACTCACTTGTAAAGAAGTACCATATCTGGATGCTCAGCAACATAAACAGCATTCACTCATCACCATTAGCCTGCAGTCATTCTGTCACTCAGACAGCGTTTTCACAGCAGGAGTTGTGTTGTTTTCAGCACAGTTCCTATGCCGGGTGAAACCAGCATTGATGCTGGAAGCCACTCTTGGTAATAATTCAACACTTTCAACTTCAAAGTAAATCTATTTCAAAGTGCAGGTAGTGATAGGAGTGGTGCCCTTTATTGTGCGCCCCCCCCAAAAGAAACTGACATTAGCTGAAAATCAATGTTTATGTTGCCTTACTTACTTTGTTGAGTTTTTTTTAGAATTGTACTAAAAGGAAATTCAGTTCTCATTTTGCTGTTGTAGAACAGTTTGGTCCTCTGTTATACTGATGTAATTTCTTGAAAACAAGAACAGTCTGCTTTGGCTGGTGAAACTCCACAGACCTGCGCATTGACTGAAGTCGCTTAAGCACAAGAACATAAGCCATGGTATTTATTATGAGCTCTATGGAAAAAGCTCAACATCTGCTTTTGATCCCCCTTTCCTAAAATTCAACGTTCCGGGCAATAAAACCTAAAATTCTTCTAGGAATACCAGCTATACACAGTGGGACTATGTGCTGATGACACCGCATGTAAATCCCATATCAAGGAGGGAACGTGTGATTTTAT